AGAAATGTTGGGATGACTGTTCCGAGATTTCATTATCACTTACCACTAATTTAGCAAAGCAAATGAGGCTTTCCTTTTCGAAATATCAGATCCTGTGATTTACAACCATGGGGCGGGCCCAAAAATACACAATTTTGATGATTTCATCTCGGAGGTCTTACAACCTGCGGAGAAAAAACGCCTAGAAAAAGAGAAACAGCTGCATCGAACAGTGCATGAGTTGCTTGTCTGTTCATGTTCTATGAGGTTTGGCTGAACCAAATATAGAATTTGTTAGCATCAGAAAAATAATTTTGGTGATTCTAAAAAGCCAGCTGGAGGTGCCGAGAAATTTATGGTGTTGCGCCTTGTTTGCTCTATACAATTGTTAAGTAAACTCCTCAGAGGTTCAAAATATTATATTTGAAAACTTGCTAAACTTAGGAGGAGTAGAAACCTGGTAAAATTCCTGCAGTCATATTAGTAGTTACAAAAGCAAATGTCGTCGAAACATAACTTCTAGAAAGAGAAAGAAAAACTGCGTCGAATAGTTCATGAAGTATTTGTTCATCTTTATTCCACGTTCACGCGTTTATGATGGATTGAAAAACGGAAAGTACTTTCTGAACGATCTGATATTATCAATATGTTTCGAGCCAGTAGAACCTACCAGTACCAATCCTGCATCTTAGAAACGTAGACTAAAAAATGAATTTAGGTAGACTTTTGAAAAATCTACAAAGCAGTCTTTAGACTAAATCTAGACACAGAGAAAAGACGGGAATGGGTGGGAGGTAACAAGCCAGTAGAATGGTTGAAGGGGTATAGATCTCCTACTATCCATTAACAATTCCTCTCTTTTTCGATTGCAGAAGTACGTTTTGGATAATCACCATCTGATACAATTCACACAACTATGGCGTTAATGCCAAATTACGGTTTTCCTCAGCTTTGTGGAAATACACTTCGCATTTTGCCAGCGCACTCAAAATCTATGAAACAGGGTAAGTGTTGTTGTTTAGCAACGTATATTTTCTTTTCGATTGTCTTCAATGTCTCTAAGAACCTGTCTATCGGCACATTTCATTTATCGTCTAACAGTAAGTTCGGATATCAAACTAAAGTGCGGTTCATAATTATACGAACACCCCAAATTTTGAAGTTTTTTGACTTTTTGGGAGAAACTCAAAAAGCCGTTGGTACCACGCGATAGAACACAGCCGAAAACGGTATATGATCCATAAGAATAAAAATGGATGTCAATTTCGGGAGTGTTTTTGCGCCTAGTGCGAATTTTTAGCGGTTCATAATTATACGAACACCTCAAACAAAGGTCCATTTTTTATTCAAGATCGCAGTCGTTTGAGTCCAAATTTTTTGTAAAGCTACAGTAGCAAGGTCTGACGTGTCCGTTACACACTGAACCCAGTGCAGTTCAAAAAGAGGACCGTTACTTTTTTCAGAAGGCTCTAAATGCTTCTGGAGTGATTAGGCTCCAAAAACATCCGCTCTTCTGCGGCCTACGCGCTCTAATTAGCTTCTACCAAAGCTATGAGATAAAATAAGTTCTTTCGATGGGTATTTTGTCTGACGCTCAGAAAATCTTTGCGTTTTCGTGCTGTTTTTCAACCAAGTTCCAACCTTACCACAGAGTTAGCACGATTTCGAGCCTCAAAACTCAGCTTCTGAAGTCGTACAATGAAGTTAGCATATAGTGTGTAGAAGTTCACAAGATTGTATATCTGGTTAGAAAAAATCAGCAGCGCTGAGCGTTTGTTTTGGCCACGCAGACGTCATTTCATCAAAAACACTGCTTTTACTATTGCAATCACACCTTTATTTGGTTTGTAGCTCCACAGCCTCAAGATCAGTTCCACAAAAAACCCAATAACTTTGGCACAGAAACATCATCATGTAAACAATGCAGCTGCTTCATATCAAATGTTTGCGCGAGAGAGAAGCTGAGTTTTGAGGCTCGAAATCGTGCTAACTCTGTGGTAAGGTTGGAACTTGGTTGAAAAACGGCACAAAACGCAAAGATTTTCTGAGCGTCAGACAAAGTACTTATCGAAAGAACTTATTTTATCTCACAGCTTTGGTAGAAGCTAATTAGAGCGCGTAACCGCAGAAGAATGGATGTTTTTGCAGCGCAATCACTTCAGAAGCATTTAGAGCCTTCTGAAAAAGTAACGGTTCTCTTTTTGAACTGCACTGGGATCAGTGTGTAGCGGACACGTCAGACTTTGTTACTGTAGCTTTGCAAAAAATTTGGACTCAAATGACTGCAATCTTGAATAAAAAATGGACCCTTGTTTGAGGTGTTCGTATAATTATGAACCGCTAAAAATCCGCAGTAGGCGCTTGAACACTCCTAAGATTGACATCCATTTCCATTCTTATGGATCATATACCGTTTTCGGCTGTGTTCTATCGCGTGGTACCAACGGCTTTTTGAGTTTCTCCCAGAAAGTTCAAAAACTTACAAAATTTTGGGTGTTCGTATAATTATGAACCGCACTTTATAATCCAAGGTAGTGCAAGAATCATCTGTCAAACATGCGATCAACATTCTAGGATTTTTGTTTCTGCACTTTCATTCTAGACAACCACAACATTTGTTCTACAGACGTAAGCGTTATTTCTGACGGTCTTCGCGTTGATTGTGAGATTCAAAAGAACATAAAGGTCTTTTGTACTACCGAAATTATGGTGATTTCGATATATATAGAGCATTACAATCATTGACGACTATCCAGTTAGCTTGTTCCGCAAAGGTGAACTTTGCTCGATTTTCATGTTGCTGATGGTCAAGTTTTACTAGAACTTTGGTCTTGGCTCGAATCATGCATCAATTTGTTCAAACGTCCATTTCTTAGCCAAAGACTTGTGAAGTGTATATTATATCCTTTACCTAGCAACTGCGTATTTTTTTAACTTTGTAGCCTAATCGAACACTGAATAAAATCCACTTTTGAGCTTGAAAAATTGTAAATAGCGAGAGGCACCTAACATAATCAAAGATTACATAATTAAAGGAGGAATGTTTTGCAGTAGCTAGAAAGAGTTGGATGCCTAGTACAATTTACGTATATTCTAGTGTGTGAAACACACTTTTTTTATTACGATTTTGTGCAAATTTTCCATTGTTTCTCTTCGCCTCCTGCTCAGCCCCTCGCTCTTAGTGCATACAAAGAACAGCACGGAACATAATCACATAACGAGATCATGCAATTGACGCGGTTTTTTTATTGAGAAAAAACGATTATATGTCTGACGCACGTGGTCCTCATTGCTGGCAACACTTTTAAATTTTATCTGAACTACTGATTTTTGAATAGCAGATGAAGTTTCTTCATGCAGCTGCAGGTGCATTGCTGCTCATTGAGTTTGAAAAAGTACGATGTCAGTTGCGCTAAATTGGTTTGACCTGGCCCTAATTCACTCTTTTTCGGACAGTACTTCCATATATTCATACAATTTGAGAGGCTGTCACAAAGAAATGTTTCCTGTTTATGGTTTGTTGTTCTTTCGAAATTTGCGCGAAAGTCACAGAAATATAATTTGCTTGTATGAGGTGAACAACGGAATTCCTAGTTGGTAATAATTCTTGTTCCCCAGTTGTCGTAATGTATTGGTTGTCCGGGAACTGATGCAGGTCTTGATTTCCAACCTCAATAAGTCATATGTACACTTCTCTTTTCTAAGTAGGTTGCTAAACACCACTTGATAGAACAAAGCAAACTCTACAAGATGGCTATCTTGTTCAACAACAGCTCTGATCCACCACGAGTTTCGAGCCCAAAAACCAAGAAGATTCAACTGCCCGAAAAATTGAGAAAAATTTTAACTTAGCTCATGAAAATCCTAATCAAAAATTCTAACTTGCTCACGTAAACACAATCCACATAGGGCATCTGTATAACCGTTGCCGTATTTTTTTCTCTGTTAGAAATGAAGAAAACGGAAATTTTTGTCATTTGCCAAAGTGATGCTGTGCCATTCTCACATAAGTATTTGTATATTACAAACCTGTAGAATGCAAACGTAAATTTCCAGCTCTCTACAGGCTTTAGTTCTCGAGAAATATCGAATACAGTTTTCCCTAGTCATGTGGTCCAAGCTAAAATTTAAATTTCTTGAGAACTAAAGCTTGTAGAGAGCTGGAAGTTTACGTTTGCACTTCTACAGGTTTGTAATATACGAATACTTATGTGGAAATGGCACAGCATCACTTTGGCAAATGCACAAAAATTTCCGTTTTCTTCATTTTTTACAGAGAAAAAAATACGGCAACGGCGTATACAGATGCCCTATGTGGATTGTGTTTACGTGAGGAAACTAGAATTTTTGTAGGATTTTTACGAACTGAGCTACGATTTTTCTCAATTTTTCGAGCAGTTGAATCTTTTTAGTTTTTGGCTCGAAACTCGTAATGGATCAGAGCTGTTGTTGAACAAGATAGCCATCTTGTAGAGCTTGCTTTGTTCTACATGGTGTTTAGCAACCTACTTAGAAATGGAGGTGTATGACTTATTGAGGTTGGAATTCAAGACCTGCATCAGTTTCCGGACAACCTAATATTACATTTCGTCAAGTGCAAATCTCATTTTATGTCATTTCATTCTCTCATTTCATGGTTTGCCTTCAAATTGCTGGCGATTGAGTTTTGCAGCAACGGCTTTGAGTTTTTCTGCATCCTGTATGCATTCCAGAGCTAAGTAATGGCTCTCCTTTTGTTGAAAGGAGGCAGAAAAAAGAAAAGATTACCGAAAATTCGCAAGAGACTTTGAAATCGTAGTATTGGTTGTTTTTCGTGATTCGTAGTCTTATCTCCTTTCCGTTATTACTTTCTACTACCTTTTGTTGTGCAAGTACTTACGTACTGACTTTGATCTTTTTTATGACTCGCATATCACGACTATAATGTTTCTGTAAAACTTAATGCGACTCATAACAGTCTGGCATCCGACAAATTACTATCGTGGTATGCATAGCCGAGTTGGTCTCCTAACAAGAGCGATATGGATCCGGAGACTTGCCAAGAAGTGAGTTTTTACTCTTCAACTACTTTGATCAATTATTCATTCGACTACTCATATATTTTCAACTTCATCATTTGCAATCAGAGGCACACAAACACTGTACAATATCAAACATTAGCTCAGATAGTCATGAGTCAAGGTAAATAGATGTATTATACTAGGGTGATGAGAATAATTGTTAATTTCTTAAGAGAGAAAAGCGATTGAACTTTCTAATTTCAATAGATATTAGAGTATATTATTCTCTACACAGTATCTATATAAGGTCATTTACATACCTAACAACTCTTATACTTGCTGAAATGCAAAGTTTATCACTTCGACAAATTAGAAACTTGTAGCAGTATCTGCGCAGTGAAACATGCGAAACCATCCAAAGACCACTGCTGCAATGGGTGAAGCTACAGTCACCGAACCCTCTGTGGCCTGCTGGCCGTAACGCATGGCCAGGAGATATGGTCAGTAGCAGGTTTGGGAACAAAGATGCGTGTTTTTTACTTCTTTGCAAGTGAACGCTGTTTTCTGGCCACCATCTGATGTAGCTTCTTACGTTCTATCCACCCATATGCTGCTTACCTCAAATTTCTCCTACCTTCAAAAATTACAGCTTGAAACATGATTTTTTGATTTTCGTTGCGCCAAAAATTCGCAATTTTTCAAGTTTTTCGCTTTTTTATCTAAAAATAAAAGGAAGGACTATGTATTTCATAAACCTTTTGAAAGAGCGAGAAGAACTCTTTCAAACGGTATGTGACTCGCTTTATACCTCTACGGTATGGGAGCGCAAGACTGCGAGATATTCAAAAACCCTGTTCGAGTTCTTCGAGGCGCACGCCGAGGTGTGGGAGAGGAGCATTAACGCGTTGCCAGAATACTAGGCAAGGGTCGCTTATGTAAGTGACGTTTGAGTTGCAGTCTGCTTGCTGTTGCTCGAAACAAAAAATCCCAAAATGTAACGAAAATCAAACTGTCCCAATTTTCACCGTTCACCGCAATAGTATTGATAATAAGTGAAATATCAAGCAGTTCAAAAAGTCTTTCCAATGGAGTTGTTTTGTGTTTTATACTTTTACTATTCAACAGGGCTATATTGGACACTAGCTGGCTTACCCGGCTCCGCCGTATCCGGACCAAACTTGGCACACATACACTTCGGGCCCCGGCGGGTGTCGCAGTCCACTTTTCGTTATCGATCGATGTCGATTTTACCGATTTTTATCGATTTTTTTGCAGAATTCACCTACAGAGCTAGGAGTTGGCACAGGGGGGGAAGTGAGCATGGGGATTCCGAATACAATATTAGTTTCCAGAATTATCGATTACTTTTATTGATTTTATCGATTTTTTGTAAATTTTGACATGCGAGGCTGGGATTTTGCACAGGGGGTGATCGAGCATGCTGATTACGAACACAATATTAGTTTTCAGGATCGTCCATTACTTTTATCGATTTTATCGATTTTTTTGTAAAGTTTGACCTGCGGGGCTGGGAGTTTGCACAGGGGGTAATCGAGCATGCAGATTACGAACACAATATTAGTTTTCAGGATCGTCCATTACTTTTTCGATTTTATCGATTTTTTGAAAATTTGAGCTAGGGGGCTGGAGTTTGACACAGGAGTGTAATCGAGCATGCTGATCACCCCCCTTGGGGGTGATCAGCATGCTCGATTACCCCCCTGTGCCAACTCCCAGCCCCCTAGCTCAAACTTTGCAAAAAATCGATAAAATCGATAAAAGTAATCGATAATCCCGAAAACCAATATTGTATTCGGAATCCCCATGCTCGATTACCCCCTGTGCCAACTCCCAGCCCCGTAGCTCAAACTTTGCAGCAAAATCGATAAAATCGATAGAAGTAATCGATAATCCTGAAAACCAATATTGTATTCGGAATCCCCATGCTCGATTACCCCCCTGTGCCAACTCCCAGCCCCGTAGCTCAAACTTTGCAAAAAAATCGATAAAATCGATAAAAGTAATCGATAATCCTGAAAACCAATATTGTATTCGGAATCCCCATGCTCGATTACCCCCCTGTGCCAACTCCCAGCCCCGTAGGTGAACTCAGCAAAAAAATCGATAAAAATCGATAAAATCGATATCGATCGATGACGAAAAGTAGCCTATGACACCCGCCGGGGCCCGTAGTGTATGTGTGCCAAGTTTGGTCCGGATCGGTTCAGAAATGGAATTTTCTATTCGGAACATACGTACATACATACAGACAGACATACAGACATACAGACATACAGACATACAGACAAACAGACATTCAGCTTTATATATAAGATATGTACTGGCAGCCTCAGGCTTAATTGAGCATACCACACATGCATGCTTCCACACACGGCTTACCAAACGCAGTGTCGCTTGCATCAGCATCTCCATTCCCGCGCTGGACTCTGCGTCTCTTCTGCGAACAAGCTCTCTAATCACTTACAATCGATTGAGGCTCCGCTTTTCCCACGCTCGCTTGTGAAAATAATCAGAGAGCATGTTCGCGGAGGGGAAGCAGAATTCAGCGCGGGAGTCGAGATGGAGATGCAAGCGACACTGCGTTTGATAAGCCCTGTAAGTGCTCTGGCTGATGACCCCTAATTTTCAGCCGTTTAGTAGAAAATGCTCTCTTTGCTTGAAAATCTTAGGACGAACGCGAGTAGTGTTGAGATGCGGCTATTTCTAACGAAACGAAGGTTGTTACGGTATCTCAATCGAGCCTCCAGGTGCTGCTGGATTTACAATGTACCTTTGCCGCGGCTCATAAAGTAATGTAATGTCCCTTTTTGGAGTGTACTCTCTGGTATAAAATTCTCTCTAGTTTTCTATATGTTAGTTGGCATTAAGGCACACTAAAGACACCTCAGACTGGCGCATCTTAATAGTATTGACAGCAACGTTGAACAACCATATGACAAAATCAAAAATCACTCGTAGCGATTAATGGACACCATGAACTAGAGAAAGGTTTAACAAGAATGATTAGAAGAAAATGTCTGCATCACTTGCTCAAGTAACAGCGAGCCCCATGGTGATCCAGCTGAATGGGCTTTCATTTGGAATCCGTCAATTTTGAAAATATGATTGATTTCATTGTGAGTCAACATCTTCAAACTGTAGATGTAGTATAGATTTTTGATAACAAAATCGCTTAGATCTCCAAGGGAAGTGGAATAGGGAAATGGGAATTAGAACAAAATTACGGTTGAATAGCTGTCTTAATTTCACAAAACATCGCTCCAATTTAATTCTAATCAATATTAGACCGGAACGAAAGTTGTGACTTTTATCTGGTATCGGCTGTTACAAGGCGTCTGGATTATTGTGGCCATACTAGCAATGGTGGGCATATCGTCCGTTTACTTTCTACATATCAAGTCGTCTAAACTACATGTAAATATCCAGGTACGAGTGCTTCCAGTTTAGTTTTTTTAATCATTCCTCTCTTGGGCAGCTTCTTCTCCCAAACTTCTTAGATTTGGAATGTACGACTCTCGATCTTCTTTGATTTGTTTGACAATTCAACAATGTAGATTGTGTTGCAAAGTGTGTTGGCTATCGTACTTGTTTTCCGAACAAAGGCGTAGCAAATTTACATTGGTTCCTTTCGAGAACGTTGCGTGCGTGCAAGCTTGCTTAAAGGACGCAATACACACGTTTTTCAAAAAGTGTCCGTTTCTCCAACGGAGCGCAAAATCTTATAGGTTATAACTAAAGGGCAATTTGCTCCGCATTGTACGCATTAATTAAAATTTTTGAAACGCGTGCTACACATGGCAAATCTCCAATTTCGAAGCATTTTCTTCATTTCCAGCAAAAGTTTTATCAAAATTTAGCAACCAGCTTCATAATATTGACTTGTTTTCCATTAGAGACGCCTCAATCGTTTTGGTAGCTTAGAATACTGTGAAGTTGCCCTAATTCAACCCGTTTTTCATCTAGCTTTCAGTTTCTTTCTGCGATGCTTTGATGTTGGTTAATGGTGACATAGCGCACCATCGGGAGTATCCTTTGGCAAAGGCAACCATGAGACTACCCTAAGCTCTTCATTCATTAACATCAAGGGGCTTTCAAATGTGAAGTTTCCATACATTATTGTTATCATGCACAAATCTCTATTGATTTTTGGTATGGTAAAGAGCTTTACTAGAGCTCCGCTAAAGTTGTCGGGGCATGCGAGAGAGACCTGGCGCGGTGTGGGGACTCAATACCGGCTTTGTAGGCGCCTAATGCGGTATAGTCAACTTTACGGAGTCGACCGGGCTGAACGCCAGCAAATGTCTCTTGCGGGCTAGCTTCGCGCGCATGATTCATCATAGCGTACTCGGCAGCCGCGTTGCAGCAACGCTCGCGTGCGTTCAGCCTACAGCGACCCGGGCGATTTCGTACAGTCGACTTTATAAACCCTTCTCCCACTCTGGAATCCCGGGACACCAACCTTGCACGCACAGTTTCTAGATTAGGATAGTTTAAGGAAGAAGACTTTAAAGGCAGCGTCCAGGCAAAACCGACCTGTGGGGCTCTCACGTGGAAAGTAATCTTGAGGCTTAAATAAGACTCTGCCCAAGCGGCAGTTCAGATAGTGCACTCGCGGCTAAGATATTGGGCTCCAAACTATGCCCCGTGACCGTATTCGCATGGATTGGGGCGCTTTCGCGCGAGGACTCACGCTAAACTGATGTGCCGAGCCATGAATCTATGCGAATACGGTCACGGGGCATAGTTTGGAGCCTAATGTCTTAGCCGTGAGTGCACTGTCTGAACTGCCGCTTGGGCAGAGTCTTATTTAGGGTCTCAAAATTACTTTCCCATAGGTCCGAATATGCTTGGACGCTGCCTTCAGTGTGACCGCTGCCAACCGTTACTGTCCTCTTATGTTTGCAAGCTGGCGCATGTACTGTTTTTACGTTACAAAAAATATATAACGAGTTGGAACAATACTTTAGTCAACTCTGGGATGGTCAAAGGTTGTAGGTTACTTACTGCTTGTAAATGATATCAGTTTCTTGAGCTCAAACAACTCCAAGCTGGGAGCTAATAATCGAAACACAAAGGTCAATAAGATTGCTGTGAAAACATTGAAGGAAAATTGTAAACAGCGAGTTACAGTTTTTTTTCTAAAGGAAGGGAAAAGATTTTTAATCTATAGTTCAGATTCTCCTAATGCTGTTTTTGTTCAGTGCCTTTCTGATCAATGTCGTTGTTGTGATCACTCAGGTGTGTGCTCTTTTTGACTAATAATAACTAGAATCAAAGCGATTAACCATTTTAGACATATCAGTTAACCATTTCATTTACCTATGTTGAACCATGTGACGTGTTCCTCTCTCCGTCGTTCTACATAATTTTCAATATTGCTCATGGCTTTTTTACTGAACTCTATCTCCTCACGATGGCAACAATGATGTTTGAACGAACATTAGCCACTGTATATGTTAGCTCTTACGAACAAATGGCTCACTCAGCAGGTCTTATGGGAGCCACTACTGCTGTATGTTTATCGTATTCTACCACTAGTGTTTGCCTGTGAGATTTGCTCATGAAAAATTCCAGAAAGAGACTCATTTTCTTATCCTTTGAGCTGAACGAAACAGAGGTTGAGATACAGTATTTTGTGCATCTGATACAGGGCCCGGCACGAATCCGTTTTTAGGCTTTTTGAAAACGGAGTCCCGCTTGATTTTTGAAAATTTTACGAAGTCCCCTTTGACCCTTGCTAGACCCCCCACCCCCACCTTCCGATTGTTGGGGATCCTTGCATACTCACTTAATTTTGACAAAACCACTTACCTGCTGCGACTTGAAAATCCCGCGAATTCAAGTCAAACTCCCAAAAAAAATTACAAAATACACAGAATTTCACTTCATAAGGCCCTACATGATCACAGAACAGATCAGGATAGATCATGAGCAGAAGAAAGAAGAAGAAGAATGAAAGAAGAATGAAAGAAACCATCAAAATATTGAAAAAAAGCTGGAACTGAAGAAGAAAATTCAAAGGGGGGAGGACAAGAAAAGCTGACGCTGGGGCGCGATATCTAACAAGGTGTTTTCCAAAAAAGAGGGTAAACGGCAGACAGGGGGCGATATGAAACCCTATGCTCGGGGATAGATTTTTGAGCGGGGCATCCGTCCATGCTAAACAAATCTGAAGCTTCTGCGAAGTGACGGAAATATTAGGTGGGTGCAAAAGTTCTTGCGCCGGATTTTCAAAAAATCATAACTTCCTTTCTTCTCAACGATTTTTCTCAGAATTATTTTTGCATAAAAGAGGAAACCTTTTTCTTTATAGCGGTGCTTTTGCTACGGATTAGCGTTGGTAAGTTCGAGAGTTAAAAGCAATTGAAGGAAATTAGTCAAATTCGACATTTTTAAGCTGGATCACGAAAAATTCTGGAAGTATTTTTATTTGACAGAGAAAATTTTGCACATTACAGTGGTACGTTTTTCATGAATTAAAACGAAGTAGATCGAAATTTAGAAGCAAATAAAAGAATTTCTTCAGTTTTGCAATTTTTGAGCATGATCAAAAAAAGCTTGAAAACGTCACAGAATAAGCGAAAAAGTCATAAACATGGGTTTTGTAACATTCCCTTTCTAGCTGAGGGAAGATCGTGCCAATCGGGAGCATTTATTCTCGTGAAAAACGCAGACCTGAAAATCCGAATAAATCACGAAAACCAAAATTGCTCCCGATTGGCACGATCTTCGCTCAGCTAGAAGAGAAGGTTACAAAACCCATGATTATGACTTTTTCGCCTACTCTGTGACGTTTTCAAGCTTTTTTGATCATGCTCAAAAATTGCAAAACTGAAGAAATTCTCTTTATTTGCTTTTAAATCTCGATCTCATGAAAAACGTACCACTGTAATGTGCAAAATTTTCTCTATCAAACAAAAATACTTCCAGAATTTTTCGTGATCCAGCTTGAAAGATGTTGAACTTGACTAATTTCCTTCAATTGCTTTTAACTCTCGAACTTACCAACGCTAATCCGTAGCAAAAGCACCGCTATAAAGAAAAAGGCTTCCTCTTTTATACAAAAATAATTTTGAGAAAAATCGTTGAGAAGAAAGGAAGTTTTGATTTTTTGAAAATCCGACGCAAGAACTTTTGCACCCACCTAATATATGCTCCAGACGATCTCAGATCGTCTGGTGGCCGTCTGGAGACGGACCAATTTTGGAAAGGTATCACTTCACATTTTTAAATATTTTTACATAATTCTTTCGCACATTATTTTCTATGTGTACGGTTCAGTTTGGTGTCATATGATTTTGTTTTGTGTGCGCTGTAAGCAAGCAATTTGTTTATTTGCCTCGCTTTTCAATCGCGCACTTTTTGCCATACACGATAGAGCAGCCACTCGTGTGATGACTCGTCCGAAATGCTAGCGTTTGACTAAATGGCGCTTATCCCTGGTTCTCGACCCCTACTCTGCAAACGATATCCCCTTTGCTTTTTGCTCCAAAAACGAAGTCCAGCCTGCTTCCAGACGATTTGTGCCGGACCCTGATCTAATACTCATTAATTAGCATGGTGAAGAATTTATTTTCAACAAAAGCTACACTAAAGCTTCACTGAGACTATACTTATTTTTCCTCCGACAAGATCTTTGCTTGAAGTTTGGACTATTATATGGTGTCTTCTTCCATGTACCCAGCCTGTTTAGATTTTGTTTGCAACTTTAATCGAATTTCTGTTATATTATGGAGCAACCATCAATGACTTACAAATATCTACTACGAACAGTGCATCTGGAATTGCTAATCGAATCGACTATGTTCTTATATTCAACATCAGCTCCAGCGCACTGACAATGATGACCATGATCATTCTTTTATTGGTGAACACAAAAAGAAGCGAACTTGCTATTGGCATTATCTCTCATCGCTTCCAAACAGAGGAGAACATCGAGACGACAAAGTTTATTGCAAGGATCGCTTTTGCACAGTTGATAGCTTTCTCTGTACAGTCCCTAGGTGGACTCTTGCTTCGAACATATGGCGAGTATATTTACAATGAGAACGATGTCCGCATTAGGAAATTATCGAAATTATTGTTGCAGGTAAGGTTTCATTTATTTGTCTTGAAACCTAAATACTATGCCTCAAATTTTCAGGTGATGCCACTTTTTACGCTCATTATAAGCATAATTATTGCCATGACGATACGAAGTACAGCTACACGTCGGCGGAGCAGACTGAAAACCCAGATGTGCATTAGTAATGATATCGATTATACTACCAAATATTTGCAAAATCAGTGGAGCAGGGCGGGACCAAAAACGAACGCTAATCTTCCAGACATCACTTGACTAAAAAAGCTTTAATCATTTTTGTATTCATGCTGTAAAAGAAGTTAATGTGATTTCGGCTTTTTTCACACATGAAATCGTCCTATTGTTCGACTGTTGAACACAATCTCGGAAATTGACAATTCACCATTGAAAATACAACTGCAACTGCACATAACATAATGCAATTTGTTAATATTAGGAGCTTCAACAGCGAAAATAGAGCACTCAGCGACATCTTTTGACTGAATATGAACAAAAAGAGTGATGCAGATAGAATGCTGTACTTCTCTACGGCCCGCTCATTAAGAATCCATGTGCATGCACAAGTATAGGAAAATCTGCCAAGTATCAAAAATGTGAGCATCAACTTGTGATATTTTTGTCTGTACTTCTCAAATCCTTTCTGACCTTCTCCAAAATATTGCGCGTGTACTTCTAGTTGAAAATCTGAAAGTGTTCAAAAAGAGTCAAGCTTGATTTTGTTTTCTTGGCTCTATATTATGGTAATTTGCTTAAGAGATTTTCTGACTGTGTGCACGCAAGTAAACGACCGCAGACTAACCAGATGGTTTTTTCTAAAGATCGCTTCTCGAGATTTTGCATATTAGGCATGCCCGCACAATGAAAGGTCAAGTTTAATGCTACCTTATGTTGCACGATAGTTTTGGTTGAAAAGTGTGAAATTGTATGTTAGCTCTGAATTTTTATAACTGTGCGGCGTGCAGCATACGGGTAAAGTGCAAAAATCTAATCAGATGCTGTTTTGAAAACAGCGTCTGATAATTTTTGAGTATGCAGCAAAATAAAGCTAGTTTAGGACTCTAACAATAAGACAAAATAGTGCAACTCGCAAATCTTGCTTTCTTCAAGCGCAAAAGAAGGAAATCTTGATTACTTGGATTGCTTTCAGTACAGTACGCTTAAGGCATTCTGTAATATAAACACAAGAGTGAATGCTTTCTGGTTGTGCTCTGGCACTGTAGAGATCAGACGCCAATTATTTGACGCATAGATCTCGTGCTTTTCATTCTTATGTGTATGCTAAAATTGAAGGCATTATCACTGCTCTGAGTGTAATAAATTAGCATTATACGCTGCTTTTCACGATTGATAGAACCGCTTTTGAGTTTCGAGACTTTTTGGGGGAATCGCGAGAAACCGTGTTCTATGTAGCCAAAAGGATATGCGCGGCACAAGAACGAAAATTGGTGTCGGAATGAATTTTGCGTCAAATACGAGCAAATCGTAATTATAGGAACACCTTAGTTGAAGCTTTTTATCGCTCAAAGCTGCAGACTTTGAATCAAATTCTCTTCTAAGATTGCTAACAAGTCATCGTCTATTGGTACATGCCGAACCCAGTGCAGGACCCGGCGCAAGCTGGTTATTAGGGTTTTTGATGGACGAAGTCCTCCCCCCACCCTAACTTTCGGAAATTCTAAGAAGTCTTCTTTGTCCATTCCCGAAAATCTCGACTTATTAAGAGATGAAAAAAGAGATTCTTTAGTCTGAAAGTGGAGCTGAATACTACGCATGGACAAAAATTTTGCATTGGAGCGCGAAATCTTGAAAAAGCGATTCATGAAGAAATCAGGCTTCGGGTCAGGAGCCTCTTGCTGCCCGGGAATTTGTTCATGATAGAAAAATCCAAAACTTATGTGAAAATACAGAAATACATAAATGCTACGTACAATCTTAGATCATATGGTGGACTGGAAAGGACTAATTTTAGAAAGGTATCATTTCAAATAAGTTTCCTTAAAGGCTCATTTCAAATAAGTTTCCTTAAAGGTGTGGATCGGCAAAATCCAACAACTCGGGATTTCAACGCGGTAGGTTCCTTATCGCCCAATGAAAGCAGTGCAATCCTGGTTCACAGCATGCTTTCCCTGCCGAGAAAATCGCTCTCGAACTTACACGCGCAGGCCAATCTTACACGCATCTGGACGACTTGGAATTTCCTTCTCACCATTGGAGGCTGCCCGCCGCAACGCTATTACCATTGGGTCCTGCCACGATTTAGCGTCATCGGCCTTGCTCCACTTGTCCAATAAGCAGGAGTTGCTATCGCAGGGACAGACGGTTAAGCTCGGTACCAAGCGCGATGCGCGGACTAAAAGGATACGCTAGGAATGCCCGTTCTAGTAGGCGGCAAAGCTCCATCATTGCCGATCAATTCAGCAATCCCGCCAACCGTGCGGGCTTTCGAAGATCATGTTGTCATAAAAAGTATGCCCGACTCTTTCCCGTTGATACAAACCAATACAAGGTGCTGCGTGATGCACTCGACAAGCGCAAACGGCCCTGATAAAACGCATTTTCGCCGTTTTCAAGCTTTCAAAAGTGGGTTTTCGGGATCAGCGTATTGAAAAACCTCAGGTAAGCGCAGATTTGACTAGGTTGAGATTTGTTGAGCCACTGCCTTTAACTTTCATAAATCGTAAATAATATTCCATGCCTGCGGTTCAAATTTGGCGTCATAGCTTGTCTCTATGCTGTAAACAATATTTACTGACTTTGGCTTTGCTCTCAAATCGCGCGCGCTTTTCGCAAGACACGATGGAATAGGTTCATCGTTTATAAACCGTCTTTAGAGCTTGTGCTTATGTGAGTGATCGCCTTTCGCGCTACAGGAAGGAGTGTTAGATTGTTTGCACACTGCATGTGCAATTTTCCTCTACATCTTTCGCTAGTGATGCTTGTCCACAATTTCTTTTCGGGGCTTCGCCCCGTACCCCTCAAAAACGATATTCTTTTTGCTTTTTATTACAGAAACGAAGTCCAACCTGTTTTTACTCGATCTGAGCCGGGCTTTGACCCAATGCATTCCAAAAAGGGGAGAGTTTCTTATTTGTTAGGCTGGTGCAAAGATAATGTCCGCCTTGCAAATTTTTACTTCAAAAAGCTAACTTTGTCCAGCGTTTATGTTTTCAAATATAGTCAAGATCAGTAGAAGCAGCGAACCTTTCGTAACTTAGGGCACACCTGTTCATGATATCGCAAATCAGAAGAAAACCATTCGTAAAAACGAGAGTTTTTTCTTGAAAACCTCGCTTTGAAAAGATTACAACTCTCTCCAATTTTGTTCCTACTGGCTCGGCTTATTTTGTAGCCGTGGCCAGCTAAGTAAAAGCATTGAAATCTTGGTTTTGTGTGCGGCTGTGCAATGGGCTGGCAAAATTCTTACAGATGAGAATAGAAGCCTTATTGCACCACTGTTACAAAGTATATGAAGAAAGCGTTCCAGTGATATGCAAATCCTATGTCGAAAAAGAAAGTTCGATGGAAAATGTTGTTTGGAAAACTGGCCTAGAAAAGCGGGCGTTATTTTTGCACCAACCAACAGTCTGAAATGCTTTTGATTCAAATGCGCTACAGAAATGTCTGTTTGATTTTAGGCGCAATGACTCTAATCAATTTGTAAAAAGGCTTTGAGACACAAAAAGCTTTTTTGATAGATGTGTTGTTTGAGGCCAGGAAAATCCCTTGTTCGTTCCCCATCGAGATCTCATTTGCTTTGAAGCTATCACGCTTTTGAGTCTCAAAACTCGGCTTTCGAAATGGTCTGATAAGATAAACACATACCATGTCTACAAGGTCGTGTGTTAGTCTAGAAAAATTCTGCACTGAGCATTTGTTTTAGCCGCGCAGGCGTCGTTCCACATAAATAACTGCATGTACTGATTCATATCATTCCTTTGTTTTTAGCTCCACAAACTCAAGATTGGCCTCACAATAAACCCAACAGTTTCGGCATGGAGACACCATCACACAAGAAATGCACTTTCCTCACCGCAAATCTCTGCGCGAGACATCAGTTTGATTCTGAGGATCGAAATTGTGGTAAGCTTGTTTGCTTGCAGAGCAACGAGTTAAAGATTTACAGAATAATAGATGTTTTGGGGCGCAATAAATTCAAAAGCACTTGTAACTATCTGAAGAGAATAGGCCCTTCATTCTAAACGGGTGTAGTGCGGAAGGCGACAATCCCCAATTTTGTGCCTATCAAAAACTCTCCGGTGTCAAAGTGACATCCCGGGGGACTACGAGGGTGGGGGTGGGGGCAGATACATTACTCAATGCCACAAGTAGATCGCCGATTGTCGCCTTCCGCGTGCCCCCCATTCTAAACTGCGCTGGTGCAGCTTGTGGAGGATAACTCGAACTTTGTGACTGCAGTTTAACAAAAATTCGAAGGCGAAAGATTGAAAAAAGAAGCTTTGCTTGAGGTGTTCGTATATATTCAAACGCTCAATATTCGTGTTCGGCGCAAAATTCATTAAATCATCCCCAGGATCGACACGGATTTTTATTCTGCTGACACCTTTTGGCTAAGTTCATTCACATGGCACCAACGGTTCTTGGGATCCATCCAAAGTGCTCCAAAACCTACAAAACGAGGGGTTCGTATGATTATAAACCGCACGTGACATGACAATACGTATCATGACAAACAAAAGCTGTGTTTGAGCGTATCTGTTACGAAATTCCTACGCAAAACAAAGACATGCAAGGCAAACCAAGTGAACCTAAACCTTTGCGAGCAGGGGTGACGTCCAAATTAGAAACAAGCTCTCAACCGACAGGCTTCTGATGGGTTTGCCCACTCGCGATACGACGCTAGTAAACTCTACAATATCTAGTACAAGAACACAAAGCGAGAGATGGAATGGCCTTCTACATATTTTGGAGTATCGATGAGTATTTTGTAATTTTGTGCCTTAAACCAAAATTAGTAACCCAAGTGTTCCCCTTTAGGGTTGAGCCAGACTTCGCGGGCAAGCGGCGTACGCGGCGTACGCAGCGTACGCTCGGTATATTTCATCATGAGAGCATACGCGGCGTACGCTGCGTACGTCGCGTACGCCGCGCAGTCTGGCCCAACCCTTACCCTTCGTCCTTTCCTCTGCCTTTCAATCTTGCCTTCAATAGTGCATACCAAGAACAATTAGCTTACAATATTATACGCTGATAAGTTTTTGACTAATTACCTTAAGCAAATTCACGATCTTTATATGCCACGAATCTCGGTACCATTTGCAAAGTATGAAATAATGCTATCTTCAATGATGTTTCGCCACACATGTTTGTAATAAGTTTTATTTAATCAGCCTGACGTTTCGTCAATAATGCCTTTAGAAGCCTGAAAGATAGTCTCTCTCAGTACTTGCTGCTTATGCGAAACCCTCCTCCACGTGCTTCATTCACTCTATTTTAAGTGAAAGGCACTGAGTCTGCATGCTACGGCAACTCATTTATGTCAGCGACGCCGCTTACCAACAATCCACCCACTGATGTGTCCCAATAATGGACAGCTTAAAGGCAGTGGCTCGGCAAATCTTACCCTAGTCAAATTTTCGCTTACCTGGGGTTATCCAATGCGCCGGTTCGAAAATCCACTTTAGATGGCTTGAAAACGGCGAAATCGAGCGTTTTCCAGTGCCCCTCGCTGTGAAATTGGACGAGTGGACAAGGCTGATGATGCTCAATCGCTGCGGGACCCAATGGTTACAGCATTGCGGCGGGCAGCCTCCAATGGTGAGAGGAGAATTGCCAACTCGTCCGAACGCGTGTAAGATTGGCCTGCTCGTGTAAGTTTTTAAGCAATTTTCTCGATAGGGAAGGCATGCTATGCGACCGGGATTGCAATGTTCTCATACTTGGGCGACAAGCAACCTGCTACGCTAAAACCCTGAGTTGTTTAGTTTTGCCGATCCACTGCCCTTAAGTGTCGTGGGTATCTTATAACAGACAGTACGATAGCAACGACATAAGATCGTTGATGATAGAAATGTTCGTTCTTGCCGTTCATCTCTTTGGCTGAGTGAGAGAATGAACGGCGATTTTAGTGCTTTGCAAGCCGCAATTTTACTTTCATGCGCCAAAATCGTGCACTTAACGCAAAAATCGTTACCGTCGTGAGATGGACTCATCGTGCTTCCCCGTTTCTTACTGGTTCTCACTGGTCAGATGTTCATTAACGCGGCTGCTGAATATACGCACGCTCTTTTCGATGTAGGCTGCATACAATTTAGACATTCGAGTTTGTGAATTACGCTAAACTTAGCACAATCCCCTACTCTGCCGTTAGGGCATACAACGCAGTTTTGTATGATACAAACCGTATCATATAGACGATTACATACCGGTACTAGCTGTAGCTTGATGTTGTCGCTGGAATAGTTACATTTAGAATATTTGGTTAAGCTGTGCTCGTATGAGACATTTTTCAAACTCGTTTGCGACTCTGTCATATGAATGGTAAACTTGAAGGAATCATGGCTCTGGCTTGGTCATGTTGTTTACCGGTAGGTATCCTTTTCGGATGTCTGGATCTTGCTGGAAAACAATTGTTTTCTGCAACCTTTCTTGTAAGCTGAAGGGATGTCTGTTATTCGTCCTCGCCACCGCACACCTCTGCGGCTGTTTTAAACATGTTACGCACAACTGTTCTTTGACCGCAACCCCATGGCCAGATTTGACGTGTAAAATGATATTTTTGAAATGTTCCTTACGATACCATTTCACGCGAGCGTTGTCATCTGATAACATCAGTTGCGTGTTGAGTACGGTAACCAGTCGTTCCGAGGTTTCCATTTGGTGAACTTTATGTATTGCGATCGCTCGTTTAATACGCGAAAACACTCACCCATTTTTGACTGAGTTGATGTTATGATCAGGCAGTCATCAACATATCGGCATAACTGGATGGATAGCACGGTCTTCTTACTCTGCTCATGAAACAGATAGCTAAACAGGTGCTAACCTTCGTCCCATTGCCAGCCCTCTCAAGTGTGAATAGGAGACTCTCGACCACTTGAAGTTGTTACGATATTCCTTGTTGGAGTCATGATACGCGGGATACCTTTCCCAGAGCAAACACTTAAACCATGTTTGGCTCTTGCTCGATAGAGAAGCCGGTTTGAACTAAAAGTTGTTGAGCAACATAGACCGTAACGATTTTAGCGTTGAGTGCACGATTTTGGGGCATGAAAGTAAAATTGCGGCTTGCAAAGCACTGGAAGTGTCTTCAATTCTCTCCGTTAGCTGAAGATGAACGGCAAGAATGAACAGCTCTGTATCACCAGCGACTTATGCCGTTCATATCTACCCACGACTACTTAAACTGTTCATTACTAGGACAGTTTAGTCATTTGTCGGCAATGGGATTTTTGCTGATATTGGTGAGTTGCCGTAGTATGCAAACCTAGTACCGTTGACTAAAAACGAACCGAATAAAGCAAATGGAGGAGGGCTTCGTGTAAAGCAGCGAATACTGAGCAAGACTATCTTTCAGGCCTCTGAGAGAGGCATTTGCCGAAACGTAAGACTGCAATAAATAAAATTATAGCAAGTCTGTGTGGCAAAATGTCATAGAAAATAGTACTACTACAGTGCGCAGATTTTAGGAACAGAGAACATATGAAGTGTGAAAGACTAATTCCTGACACTTTCACCTGAACAATAAAGGAAAAGTGCAAAAACAGGCGGAATCACAAAGGCGTGACAGACGTACTATGCTATCGTGTTTTAGAATGAAAATTAGTTGAGCATTCGAATCGGTACTGTACGCAACTCTACCCTTTTATAATCTTTGTGATAGTTTTAACGCCATCTTTACATGCGTCTTAGAAGCTACCAAAAATCGTTTATCTTTTGTTGTATTCTGATACGTATTAGGTTGTCCCGAAAGTTTTGTCGGTTTTTCAAACCGCTATAAGACTATGTGCAATAAAGACCTGAATGAATTTTAAAATGCATTCGATGCAGCTCTTCCTTCTCTTTCTTAAGATTACATTTCCGTGCAACAATCTTGTATGCTTTTTTTGATAATTGTTACAATTCTCCACATGTCATTTTTATCTGCTCAAAGTTAGGCTAGTTTTTGAAAATTTCATTCCAATTTTCTGGAGATGGTTAAGTATGGCAAGAATAGAACAATTCTCGGACTACAAGATGGTATTTTTAGATTCTCCTAAACTGCTGTTTTTGGCCTCAAAAAATTATTTCGGAGGTCTCGATTTTTGGCAAAGTCATGAAACACGCAACTGCAGCAAAAACGTGAAAGCTTTTGGAATTTCTGCGAATTAAAACTTGATTGCAAATAAAGAATAATTATGCAACATAACAAGTTTAATTTGTTCTGAAAATTCAGCTTTTTGGAATTTTCGGTAACTTTACATGGTAGACGTAACCCAAAAGCCGCGGTTTTTCTTAAATAAATAATTATAACGGACTTGATAAACATAGCCCATGTAATTTAAAAAATGTAAATGTAGCCAAAGATTTGCTCTACATAACAGTTATTAGCGCTCTTCAAAAGCAGCAAAAGAAAATTTTTTTTAAATTCAGGAAAGATTTGGCGTTACTGTTGCGCTGCTCAAAAATTTATGGCGATGACATCACAAAGACAGAGTAGATCAAAGAGCAAATATAGCTATAAGAAAGAGGATAAATGAATCAAATGATACCTAGATCGATTGGTCTTCTGTGGGTTGTAGTGAGCGATGAAAAAAACCGACAAAACTTTTGGGACAACCTAATACAAAACATGCCTGCTTGTTTGAATAGAGCATTTTCGCTGTTATCGTAGTATATTTGTGTGCTCCTTCTTAACCGTTATAGTTATGCATTTTGTCAAAGTACAAATCTCAAATGCATTGAACAAGTTCGTTAACTACGAATCAATCGCCATAAGTGCCGTAATAAATTCCTGTAATGGTTTTTGACTTACTATATAATGAATTCGTTTTGTGATGTTTTCATAGTCAATGAAGACGTTTGTTTGGTTTGAAAAATAAAGATTATTTCTGGCTGTCAATAAGTACAGTGGAGATACGTATATTTTGAGTTTTGTCTTGCTCTCTTGTTTTAGTGTCGAGTTTTCCTTTTCTCTTAGATATAAATGTTTTTACTTTGCTTTTGTTACCTTTCCATAATATTTTTCTAACCACAATATTCTACAGAACTCCTTCGTCAGCGATTAACAAACAATAACAAAACTGGTATGGTCTTCGAGGGCGAATATGGCCCGCTGCTCACGTCATCACAGGTTGATTTGGAGACTTGTGAGGAGGTACGTTTGCTGCACTGCTGCACTTTGGATTATTTCTTGTCAGCCTTGGGCGATTGTAATAGGCTAATCAACGATTCCATTAATTTTTAAGGTTACACTATGTGATTCGAGCGCAAGCAATTTTTATACTTTCATATAGAATGGGGCTGTGGACCTTACCGATTTTTATGAACTGAAAAGGAATTCTCTAGGCTGACGCATGCATCGCGGACTTTTTTTCATTCCAAAATTCTCAGCAACCATCATAAACGTACATAGTGGCAACTGCACACGCAACTATCGCACAACTCATTCAAGCAGTAGTTTCGAACGATATTTCAGATCGGCACTAATGTAGTAACATATGTTTGGTATCGGTTGCTCCAAATCGTATGGGTCATTGTGGCCGCTGTGTCTACACTGAATATATCACGCGTTTACTTCACTTACATCAAATCATCCAAACTACATGTGAATATTCAAGTACGTATTTGCTATTTTAAGATCCCATCTTTTTGACGCCTCTCGCAACTGCTTTATATACCATTTGTCTCGGGCTTTAGCCAACTCTTTTCCAATACTTCCTATAAATTCCTTGAACAAATAAGTGCTTTTTGGCATCATCTTTAGCAATCACACGCTACATACCATACCCGTGCACATGGACTTGACGCACTAACCTGTCGGACCTTGCTCCTGTTCTCGGTGCGCATAGGGTGCCATATGGCTATTTTTGTAGTTAGATTTTCCATCACTTAACAATAAGAAGATTCCTTGCTTGTATATTTGTAAGGATGCTTGAGGGCTGCTGCTATGTGCTTTTAGATGTCTAGTATAGTCTTTTTGTTTTTCCACAAGAACGATTTCCCTAAACATCCGCTAAACGGGCAGTGCGTTAATGATTATGAACAGTAACACAACGTAGAACTGTCGCTCAAAACTAACATTCGAATTCCTTTTTGCTCTCCTGCTTTGTAGCATGACTAAGCTACAGCACAGTGAGAAAAATCATAAAACTATGAGGAAATGCGAACTTTTACAGTTTTTTTTAGCTAAGATTTGAATTAGATAACGTGTTAGAATTGTGAGAAAACATGTCTAGAATAGTGGCGAGTAAACTGATGCTGTGGTGTAGTTTCCACCATTTTGATTGCTTTTCCTCCCAATTACCAATCTTTAAGATTCTGCTGACTCTGTTCCTGTTCAGCGCCATCCTTATCAATCTTATCGTAATCATCACTCAGGTAAGCAATAAGCACTGTAGAAATATAATCCACTGTAACCGACTTTCGCATTTTAGCCATATCAACTTGCTCTTTCATTTACTTATGAAAATCCTTGTGACGTCTTTCTATCGAAAATATTTTATATGATCTTCAACATTGGTCAAGGCTTTTTTACCGAGCTTTATCTTATCACAATGGCTATAATGACATTCGAAAGGTCGTTAGCCACTGTTTTTGTCAGCTCTTATGAACGAATGACGCGCTCAGCAGGTATTGCGGGATCTTTCTTAGCGGTACGTTCATTTGTAAGTGAGGCGATTTCGAGTGTTATTGCAAACACTTTCTTTCCGCTTGTAGCCGCATCTCTATACATAAAAAAAGTGGCTGAGCGCATGTTGACCCTCACTCCTCCAGAAGTAATTGCATTCTAGAAAAGTCCATGTCAATCAAAGCAACTCACACTAAAAGATGCCAGATAGAATTTTGCCAAATCCGCCAAAAACCTCATGGTGTGATTAATTACAGTATATAATGTGCACCTGTAATGTAGCCTGCATGCTTCCATTCTAACGGTGTAGAGAGGTGAAGAAACAATATGTCACCACAAAATATTCTTTGAAGCTCTACTAGCACATCGTTCAAACCTCGTTGATTTTCACAATGTTTCATGGAAAGTAATCGCTACGGGATTACAACTACAACGCTACGTGCAGATTTTATCGACTATCTGTTTAGGTTTTGTCTGCAATCTTGGTAGAATATTTGCTATACTATGGAGCTTCCTTCGATGAGTTACATATATCCACAACCCATACCGCTTATGAAGTGACTGGTAGAATTAACATCATTCTTCTATTCAACATCTGCTCAAGTGCATTCACTATGGCAACAATGATTGGTCTTCTCTTAATGAACATAAGAAGAAAAAGATTTGCAATTGGGGTCATATCGCATCGCTTTCAAGCAGAAGAGAACATTGTCACGACAAATTTCATCGCCCGAATCGCGTTTGTTCAGTTGATAGCTTTCTGTGTGCAGTCTCTATGCGGGCTTTTGCTTAGAATATATGGAAGTTATATTTATGATGTAAACAATAGACCCATTGGGAATTCTCTAAGGCTGCTACTGCAGGTGAGGTCTCGCAAATTTATCCTGCTTATTTGCTGTTCGATGTGCGAAAATTTAGGTAATGCCTCTTTTTACGCTGATTATGAGCATAGTTGTAGCAACGACAATGCGGAGCATAGCTGAAAAGCGGCGGAGTAAACTACATAATCTAATGTGCACTACTAATGATATCGAATACAATGTGAAATTCCTGCAAGATCAATGGAGCAGAATAGAACCGAAAAGCAAGAATTACCTCAAATAGCTTTCTTTAGTATGGAAACGACGCGGTGAATTTTGATAAATATTGCTCAAGATCTCCAATGCACATTTCGTTAATTCCCCATTTGGTACGGAAAAATGGAATCGATGAACGCGCCCAACTCGAGAATATCATGGTCTGATTAAGATTGTTGAGCGCTGCTTCAAAAGAATGAGGTGGCCAAGCACCAAAAAACCATCTCAAACTCTGAGGTAGGAATTCACTGTGTGACTCCCACAGTAGAGTATACAGATGATGCCAAGAATGTAGCAAATAGAATTCGATAGTCATTGTTGAAACGAAAACAAAAATTGAAGAGGTCACACGCGGTTATAGAGTTCTTACAGAGCTGCAAATTCATCGGCTGTTCTCGTTTGAAAATGCACAGTTGCAAAATTTTTTCAAATCTATTTTCAAAGTTTGTTCAAAACGATCACGTTAGTTGCGAACGATAGCATAGGAACGTCAATATTTCTACTGGAACTTTCTTGAAGTGAAACTGCAAGTAAGCAATGACAGCTAGAGCTACTGAAAAGCAACAGTTTCAGAAGTATAGATTCAACAATTTTCCAGCGTTTAAGGTCTACAACGCTCAACCGTTTTTCGGATGTCAAAAATAAAGCCTTAGTTAGACAAAGGCGCAAATCTCGGAGAGCAAACGCGCCTTATCAGTCGCAGAGTGCATAAGGCCCAAGGCATACCTCTCGCGATTTCGCGAAATCGCCACATCCTCGCGACTTGGCGATTTGCCAGATGTCTAGAGATTGAGCATGCAAGGCTCTCAGTTGCATGGGTGCGTAGGTTCCGTAAATTGTAACAAACGCAGCAAGTCTGGATCAAGCGTTTACGACCAGCTGTGGAGAGTCGTTGAAATGCCAAATCGCGGGAGGTATGTCTTAGGCCTAAGGCGGTGAGATAGGCGAGCGCCGCTTCGCGCCTGGTCAAATGTTGCTCGCGTTCGGCAGTTTATGTTTATGTGGTTTATCAAAGTATGCAGCAAGAAACGCAAATTTCAAGCGCCCTCTATCTCAAACTCAGTCATCGTTGGCTCAAGTTATACTTCCTTCTGTTTGAATGGACTTCGTTGACGGCTCAAGGAGCCACATGGACCGGTGAACCAGAATAATCACTAGTTACTGTATTAATTACGAAACTTCTTTTACCGCTTGAAATGCAGAGTATTACACTCAAGACTATTTTGACAGCGAAAAAGTTTTCGCATTGTTCATCATCGTATAAGCCAACAACCGGGTCTTCTAACTCCCGTTGCGGCTTGTTTGATGACTTGTTCACTAGAGAGTACCCTCGCAGTTATCTCTTTATACCAATTCCAACCAGCTAAACTTTTGATTTAAGGCATTGCTGTTGGGAGTTACCAAAAACCATCTAACTCTTTTAGGTGAACATTTGCTGAAAACATTTGCTGCATTTATGAGGTGAAGGAACTTACCCACCCGAACTTGCCAGGGTAGAAAAACTAAAGTCGTCAGTTTGGCCGCCTCCGATCTACAGATTCTGGAAGACATGCAGCAACACTGTAAAAGGATCAGTTTGCTGCGAAGGTGGCTCGGCGCCTTTCGTCCCCTACCCAACTTGTCGCAACGTAGCTATGGGTTACATGAGCTATCAGTTGCGCCTTTAACACCTAATTAGCATTGTATGCAGAGGTGATCTGTGTCCACATTAGTCTCAGCTCTGATCCAGCAAAGCAGTTATGATGTGAAATCGAATCCAAAGTTCAGTAGCGATATTTATCGAATTGTGAGAATTGGTATTTAGGCGTTTTCTATCACGCTTTTCCTAAATAAGCCAATGGTTTTGCTTCGCACCTCCGAACTCAAAGTTTTCTTCATAAGTCTTACTGCAGTTCTGAAGAAGAGCATAAACGAAAAGGTTAGCATGTTCAGGAAAATCAGCGAAACGCAGATATGCTTGATTAACACGTCCAAATAGGCTTGATGATCACTTTAGATGCCATTCGGACATTGAAATTAAGAGGATTATCTTTACTAAAAACATATTACAGTTAGATGAGAAAGTAATTTCGATAGAAGGGCAAAACTGCACAGTCAACCTTTACAGACCGACTGTCATCGATATATCCATTAGGGGTATAGGGCGTTTCGCACGACAGTAATGCTCTCCACACAGGACCACCACTGCGCGCAACACCCCTGCGGGCTTTTGCCTAATCAAATCACAAGAAACGGAAGACTTGTGATGTGTTAGAACAAGGGTGGCGAGGCGCTGTTAGAATAGGGTGGCGCTGAAGACCGACCGGTGGGAAGATCATCTCCCATCCATAGGGCGCGCTTTCAGCTCGCAATGAAGTTTATCCAATCGGATGAATATCGCTACTGAACTTTGAGTTCGAAATCACATCGAAATCGCGTTTTCATGCTTTGCTGAATAAGGGCGGAGCCTACTGTGTGCAGGAATCAGCTCTACGTACAATGCTGATTAAGTGCTACATATCTGATGGCTCATGTAGCTATGTTGCGGAAATTCTTTCGGGTAAGTAAGTCCGCTCCCCCATACTTCTATGTACTCAACAGTGGTTTTTATAACCATGGTGAGTGCCACCATAATGCACATAATACTAGACATAATACAATATTGAATTTCGCGCCAATTCTCTATTGCTAGACCTCTAACCTGTTTGAAATGATGCCCCGAAATCTTCGGTCTTGCTGTGCCATACATGTTTCTTATGGTAATTTTATTTGTGTGAGGCACATTTCGATTAGCTCGTTTTTCAAAAGCTTAGTGCTTTAGCCTAGAAGTTACCTTTGAAAACACTTCGTTAACACGTTTCGGTGCTGCACATGGTGCAGCACGCTGCTTGAAGGATCTTTTTAACGTTTAGAGGCTCGCTTTTAGTCCAAGATTATCAAGTCAAAGACCTACAAGGCTTATCAAACGCAGTGTCGCTTGCATCAGCATTTCCACTCCCGCACTGGACTATGCGTCTCTTCCACAAACATGTTTTCTAGTCACTTCCAATCGACTGAGGCTCCGCCTTTCCCATGCTCGCCCTGGAAAAGTGATCAGAGAGCATGTTCGCGAAGGAGAAGCAGAATCCAGCGCGGGAGTGGAGATGCTGATGCAAGCGACACTGCGTTTGATAAATTCTGTAAGCTTCTACTTTTCAAATGACTCTGTAGAGTTGTGCCGCCGATATTTGTTCAGGAGATATAGGGACAAATCGAACAACAGTTGCAACAAAGTGCAACGACGCGTGCGACGTCGCAACTTTTCTTTGCTTCGGTATCAAAGAGAAAAACCGTAGAATACTGATGTGTACCGTTTACAACATAGATACTTTTGGATACTATTAAAACCTGAGTGCTTGTTCCTATTTTTCAGGAAAGCACAGAAATCATTCTCAAACGACGAAATCTAAATACTTCAAATTCACTTAGAACTTTAGGTATGAAACTTATCTCACAAGCTGATTACAGATGCAGCGCACAGTCTGTAAAATAAGGTTATTTTGCTGGCTAATGGCTGAAAGTGCACTCTTTTTCGCCGCGCGCGATTTCGCGGTCCTAAACGTGTTGGAGGCACGCATTTGAAAGGGTCATTATGGCAATTATGCGAAGTCCGTACAGAGCGGATCGTTTCTCGTTTCAGTTAATATTATAGCTCATAGACATTTTCCTTTCCATACCCTGTTTCTATATGATATCCAGTTCTCGCAGTTGTACGTGAAATTTGGCATGCAAAACGTTCGAGAGGCACATTGGGGTTTGTATAAGGGGCAGGAAAGCTTTCTGCATTTGATTACATTGAAATCTATGAGGTTTCATTGGTCGTTTCCACTTTATATATATGGACGAAATGAATGAATTGCGATTTTACCAAGAATGAATTTATTTATTTTTCCCTTTTTCCTAATCCACTGTAATAGATACATGAGCAGTAGAAATGAAAATTACTTATAGAACAAAAGAAATGACATTGATCATGAGGTACAATATCTCTGTGCAAATCAGTGTCAGATAGTGAATATTTGCATTCCAAATTCGTCTTTCCTAATCTTACTTTCTGAAATCTAGAAATTCTATCCTCAGAGCTTTCTCGTAAACACTACACATCTACACATATACCCTTTGATTCAACTGGCTTGGCGGCTGGAAGGCGGAGCTTCGTGACTTAATAAAAGCTAGATAACGGTTAGAGAACCCTCGCGAGAAAGACGAAGACTGCCTCGAGCATTAGCCAATTGAATCAAAGGTTACCTGCGCTACCCATTTCGTTGTTCACAAAGATCACGGTCGCTTCTAAATTTTTGGCAGTTTTTCAAAGTACTGTAATCTATGACATTCATAGAAAATATCGTAGCAGAGGTACGATAGCAACTGAAGTGATGAGCAGAGGAACAGGTGAGGTATTGCAGAAATCCTTTCCTTTGCAGAAAAATGATTGACCTATAAAAACTAAATATTCAATATCACAAAGGCTTACAAACGAAAATGTGCAAGTAGTGTTCTTTGCTTGCAAATAATTGAGATAAATTTGAAAATTTATAGAAATTCAAATTGGTAGAAAAAAGATTTCGGGGAGCCTAAATTTGCTGGAAATTCAGACTCGTCGCAAAAAATCATTGCGGCTTGAGGGAGGGGGAGGCGGCTAATTTTAAACCGCCACTGCCTGTGGGGGCATGTCAGGGGACTAGGGCATTCGTAGAGAATGGAGTTGCGATCTGAACACATTGTGACTTTTGTGTTCGGTTTCTAATTATTATTGAACATTGAGTGCATATGAGATAGTCTTGAAGGATATGTTTTCCTCTTTTCGGACAGGACACATGTCCGAGCTAGTAACCACATCGTCTCGGAAACTTCGAAAACGAGAACATTCTTGCGAAAGCATTATGAAGATCTTGTACAAGGTTGGTAAAAAGCTTTCGGATAATTCAGACAAAATTTGCTATCACTGAATTTAGGCGTACACCTGAGGTGAAATTGCAGCTGTTCTCCTTCCATGTGGCTTTAGTGGTAGACCAGACCAGATCGGACCTAAGTTCTATCCTACCCCTGTGCCAACTGGCCGGTGAATTGGTAACAGAGTAGTCTGCGAGGACAAAAGCATTAACTTGGTAATCGGCTGGGCCCGAAACTCACTGTAATAGGCTCACACCCCTTCAGTAGCCTCCTCGACTATGAAGTAGATTGCGTTTGGCGCATGCCCGCAGAGACTATTGAAGACCCTAACCTTTTATCCTTTATCCTTATCCTAATATTTGGGCAAGTAATAGGAGTCTGAAATAGTGGGGGCGGAGTTTTTCCATTGTTTTAATCGTCATATTTCTTGTTAGTCAAACTCACATTACATACAACTCGCGCAAATGTGTATACAAGCGTGTGTTTACTATACATTGGAGCATCTGGAAGTGTCGTAATGTTTATGGAAATATCCGAAGGTTAGAAGCGTACATTTTTCAGAATTGCACACCTGGACTTCTGGCGGGGTGGGTCTCATAGGCTAATTTTGGTTATCGATTCATATCGACAAATGACTTCCCGGCAAATTTTGAGCTGGGGCGCTGAGAATTGGCGCAAGGGCAGGGGGAAAAGGGACAAGTGAGCATGCTGTCTAGAGCAGAGCAAACTTTGAGAGGGGTCGCTAGGATTTCTGCGAAGAGGTAAGTGAACATGCCAATAATGGGTCACACTGATGAGCAAAATAGAAAATTATATCCATGGCGTCTATCGACTTATCGATTTTTTGCAGACTTTACTCGAAGATAAAGATAATGGAGATTAAACTTCCCGCACCTGTCACTTTCTCATTATTGACCCAGTAAAGTTGCATGTCAAGTGTACGGATTTTCATTGAAGCATCTTCTTCATCGCCATTTGTGCATCCTTTCACAATCATGTCGTGTTCTGCAATCACACCGCAACATTTTTTATGTTTAAGTTTAAACTATGCTTGCCTCGATCGACCAATTTGAAACAGGAGCCACTACAGCACGTCAGTCCATGCTCACAGTTTTTCATGTCGCGACCCATACATGTGTAGCACGAGAGTGTCCTGCCATCTGTATTCATCGAACAATTACGCTCGTAGAGTTCAGCACTGATTGGGCCTAAATAATCACAAATTATAACATAAAAAATTTGAAATTCAATTTAGAGCCGCTTTATGAAAAGAGAACTACGGTTGGCTGCAACATCGAAATTGCACATCAAATAAAAGGGCAGAAATTCTATACCACTTCCACGTCCATCTCCCTCGCAAGAGCATTATTTTGCCAGACTAACTGCAAGGGTACGGATTTTGCTGCCTACTCTTCATAATCTATTATGAATTTCTGAATTGACGCCCAAGATTAATTGCCTCAGAAGAAAGCTTGACAGACAATCATACAAAAGCAAGGTGCTCGCATGTAGTGGAAAGTTAAGACTACTTGAGAAAGATTAAGAAACTGTATATTATTGCCGACACATTCGCTACTGACACTTGTTGAGACGACACTTGAATATGCACATATCAACTGGTCCCTGCTATAGATTTTTATTGCGCTGAGATGCTAAAATGGAAAATTTCTTTGAAATATAATATTAAATAAAAGCGCAAGTTCCGTCGCTGATTCTTCAGAATTCATGATTTCTTACTATTTCAACGATTTGTGCTGATTTTGTGAAGTAGAGAAAATGTTTTCCAATGAGCAAAGATGAAAATAAAGTAAGATTCACTCGTTTTTGACTCATTGTCAGTCTTTAAGGTTCTGAAGTTGCAATAAACCTCAAGACGGTCATTTATACCAGTTTTGTAATCTAGTTTTCCTAAGTAAGCCAACATCAAGGACGTTTGAACTTCTCCATGGAAAGTTATATTTTTGAAGCTTACAGTAGAAAACGGCGAAATCAACAATTTCGTAATTTTTCTAGGAAATCATTACTTTTTGTGGGAACCGATCAACACACTGTTTAAGGCACGACTGCGCTTTGTTTGCGTTTCTTCCTCTTTTCCTATTTGTAACCTGAGGTCCGCTGATTTTTGTGAAAACCGAAAAGTCATTAAAGGCAGTGTCCGGGCAAAAACTCTATTCTGAGATTTTGTGCTTACCCGGGCCTATTCGCTATGCTGAATCCGAAAATCCACATTGAAGAGCGCGAAAACGACGAAAAAGGGCTCTAATACTGGAGGGAAATCAGCAAGAGATCTTCAGAGATGATCTTTTTGATCCCGGTTTCAAGTCATTCGTTTGCACTTGATCGGTAGTGATGTCAGGGCGGTTAACAGATTCGAGAAAATTGCTTTGGAAGCTGGAAGCGTGAATTCACAGTAGGGAAGACCCCGCCCACTTGCTGGTTTCCCTCCAGTATTAGAGCCCTTTTTTGTCGTTTTTGCGCTCTCCAATGTGGATTTTCAGATTCAGCATAGCGAATAGGCCCGGGTAAGGCAAATTCCTAAATCGAGTTTTTGCCCGGACACTGCCTTTAACATGTTGACGACAGCGTGCATTTTTAGCTGTCTGCCTTGTGATCAGTGCCTTCTACAGTAAGTTGAGTACTTCTAGCTGAAATCAAGCAGGCTGTCATCTGCAGTATTTCTACAGTGATTTTGAGAAGCAGCTAAAAGACGCGTAAGTAATTCCAGGGATAAAGCAAAACAGAACTTCTAAAACCACAGTCATTGCATGACCCACCATGTGGGTCACATTGTCGTCAATGTGTTAATAAAGACTCAACGAGCTTTTGATCGACAGTCTACCTCTAAGAAGTTTGTTAATGAAGACTAGATGGAAAACAGCCTGTATTACCAATACATACTTTGGTTTCATTGCATCTTTTCGAATTTTGCAGCTTATCTCAAGAGACTAAAGCTTAAGTAATCTTATTTTCAGTTGCTAGTAATTACTAGAAAGCATACAAGGCTACATTGCAAAGCACATAATTTTCCTTTCCTACAGATTCTAAGCAATTGCCAAAAGTCACCTATTTCGAAACATAATGCAGAAGTGAGCTTTTTCTTCAAACTAAATCACGTATATATAAATATATATACCTTTCGATTCAAGTGTGTTGGCGGCTGAAAGGCGGGGATTCGTGGCCTAGTAAGACTAGAATATGATCGTAGAGTACGAGCGCGAGAGAGACGCAGACTGCGTCGCGAGCGCGAGCGGCCATAACTAGGTCACAAAGCGCCGCCTTCCAGCCGCCACTACGGCTGAATCAAAGGTTAAGCACCTGGAACAGATTTTAGCGAAAAAGCAATCAATTTTGCAGCTGAACGCAAAGATCGGTAAACAAATCTCTGGCAATTACAGGTTCCTTTATTTAACTTGATGAAACGTTTCCTGCTGGGCTTGAGTGCACTATACAAATAGGAATGATTACCGCGCTGGTAAAATTCTCCAAAAGGGAGCCATTTTTAAGGCGTGGGAAATGAGCAATTTAGTAGAAATCCCTTTTGAACGTTCTGTGATTGAATGAATGCCACGTTCGTTGTCGGAACTCTTTTAAATGTCAAAATGGAACTGGTTGATGGGATGTTGCTAATTGAAAAGCCCCAGCTTCTTCAGGCGGAGTTCAATGTAACAGCATGACGAGCTTTCTCGACATAAAAACGTCATGGCAAACAGCCGGGTAGCTGAGATTTGATGCGAGCACGTGTTTTCTCAGCACTTTCACTACAACAAACGTTCAATGATTTAGTGCAACAAGAAAAACAGATTGGTTGAGCAAACAACCATAAAAAAGATGGAGGAGAGGAAAAAAACGAAGGAAAAGAACGTGACGCAACAAACGTAAAAATGTGGGTTTTTTCAAGTTTAACGTATGAAAACCTTACAAGCTTACGACTTTATTACGATATGTACCATTTTCAACTTCATTCTTCCCTGCATTTTGCATCGCGATTATTTTTAATTGGCTCTCTATCCCTTCTTCTCCATCCTGAGCGTGAGCAAAATTTTTGAAAGTGGTGTACACGAGTTCCACGATAAAGCACAATTTATGTTAGTGGAATGATGTCGTAAAGTGTCTAAACATATACATTAGAAAATTTCAAAAAATGGGAGATTTTATGAATTAGAAGATCCTGGAAAAGACTTCAGCCAATTCCCAGGGTTCGGCAGACTGTATGGAAGCAGGCTAGACTTTGTTTTCGAGACGAAAAACGAAGGAACGTTTTTGTGGGTCCGAAAAACACAAATTAGGTTAGGTTTTTTTAGTCAGCGTTTCAAAAAGGGTCAAGGGGCTTCGTAGAATTTTGCGAAAGTCAGGGGAAAGTTCTTAAAAAGCCTTGAGGCGAACTCACGCGGGGGCCCTGCTGACGCCGCATTCATCGTTAAGGAGATCTCTCCCTCCGCCGTTCCTCCCCCCCCCCCCCCCGAAAAAATTAAAGCCAACATCACGCCCTCTCATCTACTTTTCAACACTAAGTTCAACTCAATAACAATATCTACATATATGTACTAACTTTCACGCCACACCTTCCCATACACGTTTTTAATGGTCATTGATTAATCATGTACGCCCAACAACGCAGCGCATCCAAACTTCGTCAAGAAAACAGTCATAAATCTTATAAACAGTTTATGAAAATCAAAATGATGACAACTTAATTACCCACCTATAAGAAAGATGGCGGCCAAAAGTCCTATGATGACTTGGTGCTGTACTCCCATAGAAATCGAGCTAAATCAAAGATTTAATAGTTGGCTCATAATTCATACTGCGAGGCTTAAAAAGCTCAAAATGAATGTCAAGTACATATATACATATTCTTAGGAAGCATGTGCTGAGAATTGCACAACAAAAAGCGGTACAGTCAACACGGAAAAGAAAGAATGGTGGAGGTTACACCATAGGATTACATTCTTTTTCAGCATCTTAGTGATAACAAAAATGACACTAATCCATTGTTGTCAATATAAAGCAGTTCACAAAAACTTGAACTTTTCTAGATGATGAGAGAGAAGCCAATAATGTGTTCTTTCAGTGGTTGCGTATGTTATGCATGAAAATGTAAGTTTATTACAAAATTAGCTTCGGTCATAAATCTTTGTCAAAAGAAAAAGCAGTGATTTTACGACTGTAGAAATTGTTACAACTGGCTTTAACATGTTCCATGGAAGCTGCAAGCCGTTGTCCAAACAATCGAGATTTCCAATTGTAGAAAAAATTTGAGGACGTACTTTGCAAAGAGAAGGATCACTGCTGTTTTGATCAGCATCAATTCATCAAGCACGTAAAAATTTTCTTTTTCAAAATCATATTTGAAATTTACCGTTGTGAGAAATAAATTTCGGGCAAGGAAGTACAATATCAATAATTTGACCCACAAATAGTACCATCAAAGACGAGTTAGAATATAATCAAACATCAATTTTGAACAATTTTGATTTCTACTTAGAAAAAAGGCTTGAAAAACTGTTATCAAATTTAAGATTTCAGAATTATCTCTACTGTGATTTAAAAAATTCAGGGTTTAGAACATTGAAGCACGTGAGTAAATGATATTTGCACTTTCCAGAGTCATAATGAACGTATTCGAATGGCAGAATCATGTTATTAAAAGCACAAAGCAATTGCAGGAACTATAAATAAAGTCATAAATTAAAAAGATCAATGGCTATAATAGTAGCAAAAGTCCTGAAAATGGATCTACCTTATTTCACATGGACAGGATATCTAAGGGGTTTCTATGGACACTCATATCATTCTACGACGATTATAGAGATTTGATCTATTTCATACGTTTATGTCTAACTTCTTGCTAGCACGTTTCGGTTGTTAAGTGATGGCGAAATAGAAAAATAGCCATGCAATTCCAATTCCTATCCAACTCGTCAAGAAGACTTTTCACTCAACTTTTCCTCTCAAACGTGTTGCTGAAATAAAATTCAAGAAAAAAAATTTTTGGAACATTCATATAACATAAAATTTTTAGGCGGTTGCTACAATAAATTATGTGCATTTTGCACCTGAAGAGCCCATAAAGCAATGAGACAAAAACTTCTTAAACAAACAATACTAGGGCAAGTTCAAAATGCTCAAAATATTTTTCTCGGCCCAAACCTATCCCAAATTGACTGAACGTGCAAGACAAACGTAAACAACGTTACAAGGTTTCAATAAAATTAGAGAACTCCAAGTGCGGCAGTACTCTGCGTTTCCGGCATTCAAACTAAATTTATCAGTAGTTCTAATTTTGGTGTCTTGGCGCTATTTATGCCGGAAACTGGGAGCACTATTGCTGTAACACCATCATCAATTTTCTTAAAGTTCATTAAGGTCTGTACAGTAGAGTACAACTTTGTTTCAAAAAAAAGAAGGTTATAAGTCTAAATATAGATATATGATCGATGCTTTTCTCAACAAAAAAATTCTCAAGCTTATCCCTCGCTAGAACACAAATCACGCTGTATTTCAAAAATTTATGCATTGAGGCTAAGTTCAGTGCGAAATTGATAGAAATGCAGGAAAAAGGAAGACACTGGAAATTACAACTAACATTAAAATGCAGTTAAACTTACGTAATAGCGATTACGCAAGCAAATTTTGAATATTGCACAAAATTTTCGTGTTAGCTTAATAAAAATATTGAAAGTGCACACGTTTTTATTTGTAAGATTTCTCAGTAATACAAAAATTCTGACGAAAAGTTAGGACGTTTAAATCAGTTAGTTATCACAGTAGCAACGGTTTTTGTAGGAACAGCTGTTAGGCACCGAGTTTATCGGACACTCGGAAGACAGAAAATCAATTTTTGAAATCGAAAAAGTACGGATCCACTGCCAAGATTATGATGAATGATGGTTTATCTTTAGAACACAAACGATTGATATGAAGTGACGCAAGAAGAAGTCGAAGTTATTTGAAAGCTATAAAAAAAGTTTGTCAAGAGTACGCTATAACAATCACGTAGGCAAAACCAATTTGAAAAATGATTAGCTTCCCCATAAAATCCTTGAAAATTGTGTGAACAAATGTGAGTTGATTTTTTGAACTTTTTCTTACATGTGATGAGTGCTCTATTTTTATGACATATTTGGGATTCAATTTCGAATAAAAGTAGTCGAATAAAAAATTATAAAATTGTTAGAAACATCGATTAGCACGAATCCTTGTTATATAGATAGTAAGACCAGGCCACAGAAACAAAACGAATTTTAGAAGCTTTTTTTAATGGTCAATAAAAATACGTTAGATCAAAATGAAAATGAAATGAAATCTAACAAAACAGAAACGATTGGGACTTCTTTTTCTAGAACCTTATCAATAGAATTTACCAATAATGTTTTTGTACTGAGTACCTTTCTATGCAATAAATAGAGCTTGAGATTTTTTTCTCGAATATTTCTCAAAACAGACTAATCTGAGAAAATAAAGAATTTCATGGATTTTCCAATAAATAATGCAAGATTTATGAGAGAACCTAACATTGTATTTTCACATAAACTTCCCGTTTCTACTTTCATATAAAAGCTGATAAGAAAGGTGAAGCGCTAAAAAGCCTTTACTGCGCAATTGAAGTAGCTCAACGCCCTCGCTCTCAACTCAATCAGTCCGAGCTGCAACATCTAACAGCGAACGAATTGCGCTAAACGGGCCCGAGGCAGAAGTCTCCGGGGAATTTGCAATCCACAAGCTGGAGCAAAGAATTCAATGTCATTCATATACGCAATATATATGGGCCATTTACGGGAATATCTGCCCAATCTGGAGGCACATTTCGGCGCAGGGTAAATCTAACCCTATCAAATTCCACAATCTCTCGTATACTAATTAACTTCTTACTTGGCGCTAATGAAGTAATCGAGATCGATGCGGGAGCAAAGAGCTTTTGATGGGGGAGGGTTAACATGGGGGAGGGGGGAATCTTTAAGCTCACAAACGATCAGCTCCACAGCAACCAACAAGTGCTATGCACTAAGGGAAGTACTCAATTATTTTTGACGTCAACTTATAGCGTAAGGTATATGTGATTGTGACGCTTAGAAGAAGTACATGAGAGAACTGAAAGGGGGGAAGAAAAAAAATTGGCGATTCAAAATAGCTTCTTCCAGAAAAGTAGATTAGGAAAAAAAGTATCACCACCATTGCTACTGATAAAAGTGTAACAGAATCTGTGCTTTGAGAGCCACAAACTGCTAATCGAATGCACTTTGCTTCGCTGAATTTAATTAGAGGGTTGAGAATCTTCATCGGGTTTGTAATAATGGAAAAGTATGCCATTTCGAGTAGAAAACTTTCAGTGAGTAAGAATTTTTTTCAGTAAACGAAAAGCTCTCATTTACACCATTCGTGACATCTTATAGCAAACAAAACTGTAGTAAAATTCTACAGATCTGAATTGTCCTGCAGAGTTCCGTAAATTGTCTACAACGGCAATCCAACTGCCCATTATTCATATGCATTTTCTTGTTTTCCAACTTTTCGTGCTAAAAAAAAGCTTGAGCACACCATTTTAGGACCTGATCAAACTTAGTAGACCCTTTTCTAGCAGTAAGCAACAATTTTGTTATGGATCATTTATTTATTTAATTATTTATTTATCCATTTATTTATTTGGCGTGCCACTTCTAAGACAATCAAGAAAGTACTGAAACATAGTCAGTAACGAAGAAGCAACAAAAAACAACCATTAAATCAGTTCAAGAACAACCCCGAATAATTTATAGAGAATTAAAGTATTGAGCTTGTTTAGGTCATGTATGAATCATTATTCAATTTTTCGACTTTTGAGGCACCATATATTCAATGTTCATGTTTATAGCAAAGAAGGCTATCAAATGCACATAGACGTAATGTCATTTCCCACGAGATCGACAAAGAACTTCTGCTTTCGCAATTGCTATATGCGTGCCAGATTCATCCGTAAACGTTCCATTTGAGGCTATCAAAGATCTTTTCTTGTCAAAAAAACCCATCAAAGAGTTCAAATTGAATGACTAAGTTGCGGAACTTTTAATGATGAAGTCAAGTTTTAAGGAGGAAATTTTCGTGTTATGGAAGTGCGCGCAATATCCTATTTGAGCCCTTCCTTTTTGTACCAAACAGGTCACTGGTTGCGGTAGAGTACGGTAGGGTGAGAGTTTAGAGTTGTGCCATTACGAAATCAAATTTTCTAACCATGTTTTTGCTGGATAATAAAGGAGGAAATTACATTGACCTAACGCTTCTCTTGATAATTGAATCTAGTAGGAAAATTGGAAATAGAAATGGAACATAATAGCAAATTTTATATTTAAAGATGGACATTTTTGTATGAACACAAGCTGAACATAAATAAGGAGTTCTGTTACTGATCAGATCGTTTAGAGAAGGGAACTGAATGTCACTTCCTGATGTTTGGGGCCCGACTGAGCAGATGCTAGGAAGAGTTTACCTTTTCTAGCAAAAAAAGGAGAATCGAACGTTTGCTGTACTTCGACACTAGCAATCCATGCAAACAAAACCGGGAACGTTTTGTGTAAATAATAAGAATAAGAAAAAAGAGAAAAGTGAACATGAAAGAAGACTGCTGGCTGCAGCTGCTTCTTCAGGGATTTCGCTGTAAGAGGTGCAAGTGACATTTTGAATAACATCTAATAACAATTTGAAAATAGCGAAATTATTTAGGTTTGGATATTTTTAATTCCAGATGCTAAGTGCACGTGAGAAGTGCAAAATATTGTGAAAG